TTTATTAATTGTTCAATTATTACAGATTTGCAAATATTTGATTATACTTTTATGAATAAAGTAATTTCTCGAAGTGTATGAATTAAAAAATAAAATTTAAATTATTTGCACATTTTGTTATTCAATTCAATTGTAACAAACGATTGCTAAATAATAGTTTTTAAATTGATGGACAATTTTAGTTTCAAATTACATTTTAATTATTTAAATAGATTTATTAAAGTAAAAATTCAATTATAATTGTTTGCAAACAAAACTGATAACAAAGTATACTTAACTCTAATGGAAAGGCATATGTTTTTGATAAATAATATTTTATAATTTTTTCTAAAGTTTAATAATATTAGAATAATATATTAAATTCGCTAGTAATTTGATAATTGCAGCATGATTAATAATTAATAAAATAGTATTAATACAGATTAATTCTACATACAGAAATAAAAGTAAGAAACATCTCATAAATACATTAATCTACAAATAGTATACGTATTTGTTCATGATATTTATGACTAAATATGTAAATTTAATAGTTTTATGAGATAAATCATTGTAATTTCTATTTCTAATATTGTTTGATAATAATACCAGTACTCATATTGTAATGAACCCAATAGATGGTCAACACAATGGGTTTTATTGAATGTCTATCACTCTCTGTCTTTATATTATGCATGTATTCATTCAATGAATGCAACGCTCAGTTCAGAGAGTATTTTAAAGAGAAAGCACAGGAAAGATGTTTGGCAAGAATCCGACCCACGCTCACCGATTACTGCGAGAGAGGCTTCAACCGGGAAATTGCCCGCAAAGGTATAAAGGATACCAATCAGAAGGTATGGTATGTCTAGTAAATTGACACCATTTGTCATATATGCCAATACCTGTAGATGGGTTTGGTGTATCGCTCACTCCTCTCGTGTGTACTCAGCGTCATAGACGGCGACGCGACTAAAGACTGCAGAGAAGAGGGCATAGAAGTGGCCAAACAATATCTCCAAAACTTCGCAAACAGAATCTTGTGGGAAGACTATATACATTGGAAAACACTGGCGGATGTGATGATTGCCGTATCCTTACTTGTCTTTCTTATTGTAATGATTTTGATTTTTGGGCGTTATTTCCATCGATTGTCATTTTTCTAGGTCTTGACATTTAACGCCATTTATTAGTTGTTTAATTATTACAGATTTTCAAACATTTAAGTATACTTTTATGAATAAAGTAATTTCTCGAAGTGTATGAATTAAAAAATAAAATTTAAATTATTTGCACATTTTGTTATTCAATTCAATTGTAAGAAACAATTGCTAAATAATAGTTCTTAAATTGATGGACAATTTTAGTTTTAAATCACATTTTAATTATTTAAATAGATTTATTAATATAAAAATTCAATTATAATTGTTTGCAAACAAAACTGATTATAACAAAGAATACCCAACTTTGCGGCAAAACAATACAAATTTTCCCCAATAATAACTTTTCAGTTATAAACTTGTAAATGTTTTTAATTGCAGTCATAAACTTATTATCAAACACCACTTTAATGATGAGCTCAATCAGACATTCATCTCAAACTTTAGGTTAATAATAGTATAAATATTATAAAAAACAATTTAGCAACAAGATTGTAACAGAATCTCTTACCTTAAAAATTAATTCAAATATCATTATATGTTTTGCGTTCAACAAAAGTGTGTCATTGAAAAAAATATATTAATTATTAGTTTCAATTACAAGACCTCTTTTGGTACATTAATCTAAAGACATGACCGCCGATACCTATGCGGCGACAACTGAGCCACCATTGGGTCTATCGGATGACTCCGTACACATTGAATGGCCCGACTATCTCGTCATTGCATTATATTTTATCGGTATTTTGGGCGTAGGATTCTGGGTATATATTATAATATGATATTATCTTATTTACCATGTTTACTTAAATTGTAATAAATATTAATTTTATTAAACTATTTATTTAATAAAGTCTTCGAGAAAAAGTAAAGGCGATTCAGTGGACGGTTACTTCTTGGCCAACAGGAGTATGCATTGGATTCCCGTCGGTTTAGCCACTGTTTTATATGCATATCTGTATTAAACTAGTCATGTGTAATGAATAGGTGGGCGCCTCCTTATTCTCCAGTAATGTGGGCAGCGGTTCGTTTGTAGGACTGGCCGGTTCTGGTGCCAGCTCTGGCCTATCCATTGCAGCCTTTGAATTAAATGTATGTAAAATAATATTTTATAAATAGATAGTTGTTCTAAAAATGATCATATTATATTTTTAAAAGGCACTTTTCGTATTGCTAGTGTTGGCTTACTTTTTTCTACCAGTTTATATTGCTTCTGGAGTAAGTCTTATTGATTTACCAAATTATTAGACAATATAACATGATATATCTGTACCATTAGGTGAGCACAATGCCTGAATATCTAAGAAAACGATTTGGTGGTCAACGGATCCGTATATATATGTCAGTGTTGGCTCTATTGCTCTACATCTTTACCAAAATATCTGTTAGTTTTATTTATTGAC